AACTAAGTGACTGACAAAATAACAACGTTTAACATCATATCTAAGGTCTTGAGGCAAGCGAAATTGTCTAGTTAATTTGTCCATCAGAACGCAAGTTCCTTAAACAGACAATTCAAATAACATTCAATTAGCTCAAGACTCCATCATGTCACGCCCAAACTGTCAAAAAATCACAACAATGCCATCTCAGAATGCATTAACCCCACATGGTTAATTGCAAATGAGATTGAGCAAACAGGTATCACACACATCTCTGAATTGGACATATTATAATATGTACATGTAACAGTAGGTATATACCCACACCACGTAACCTACACAACACCCACTGCAGAAAAGGCCAAAAGCGTGAGACACTTTGGCTTAGTTGCCCAGCAACTCTTGGTCCATAATATTCACAGTAAAGCAGCTATATCTCCTATCAAATAGGAAAATTCTCATGTCACAAGTATTCCACACTCACTCATTACACAGGTAATTATACAAAAAGCACACAACACATCAAAACAGTGTCAACTAAACAAAAAAGGGGGGAGAGAATCTGTATAGCTAAAAGAATATCTGTGAAAAACCAAGTATGTATTAATTTTCAAATTGTGACAAGCTGGAAACATGTGAGTATGAAAGGTAATACAAACCCCAGGTTAGTGTACCTCTCCCAAAACATCGGTCATGGTAAGGGATTTGGTATCTGGGCAGTGGACGGAACCACTAAATCTGATTTGGGAGAGAGGCTATGCTGGGGAGTCTGAAGAAAAAGAGTTAAAATGAACCCCTTCCAGGTCTGTTGCACCCCACAATGTACAAAATCACATCAGCAAGGACCAGAGTGACGCAGAAGTTATAAGAAGGTTATCTTTATGTTTAAGGTTTACTTTAAGGACGACCAGTGTGGCAAAAAACAGTTTATAAAAACCCATGAATGTTTGTGTATGATGCGTGAGATGATGGTCATCAAAGCGAAAGAGAGAATGAATGGATAAGAGTGTTGTATGTCTGGACAAATATTGAAACACTACAACACCTCACAAATAACAATACCTCCGCCACAGGGTCATTTAAGAGAATTTAGTTCTGCTAAGCTTAGCCTGTTTCTTAATAAAGTTGTATTCCCCAGTTATTTAAAACCCTCAGGTTAATAAAGCTTATAAGTTTGCACGGTTAGGCCAAGGCCTATAGATTAATAAAGGTATTTCTCCAAGTTGCACTACCCTATAGGAATATAAGAGAGTTTTAAAAGGTTCACAATAGGACTATAAGAGGCCGAGGCAAGCAGTATGCTGGATCATTGCAAGCCTTGGTAGTTTATTATGTACTGTTCTGATTGTTTGCGCTGTTGTTTTTGCAATGTTCTCGTGACCTTCTTATACAATTAGGAGGGGGGAGATGTAGGGAACATGTCCCGAGGTGCAACAGGAAGGCACCGAAGCTAGGGGACATGCGCAGAAACAAACACTCCTATTGGTTAAGGGTCACGTGGGAACAGGGTATAAAAAGGGCGTGCGTTGTTTGAATAAACGTCTTTGTTTACCATCTCACAGGGAGCGTGACATATATATATATATATATAATGGCCAGTCTTCGCGAACGAAGATTTGGGGAAAGGTCTTTTACCTTTCCAGCCTGCGCAATGGATTTTTTAGGTGAGACACAGCCTGCGCTGAACTGAGCCCACCCTTTAATCCTAAGGTTCATCTGCCGGGGCCAAGCAAGCTTGGACAATGGCAGTGAGGTCCTCAGGACGTAGGTTTGTTTAGAGTGACCTTCTCATAGATGGATGGCCTCACAGGGCTAACGGGCTCCATCTGCCCGGGGGACCGAGGAATCGAACCTGGGCCACAGCAGTGAGAGTCCTGCATGCTAACCACTAGGCCACGAGGGGTCCATTTCACAGGGAGCGTGACATGATTTCTTTATTATATAAAGGCAGCGGCCACGTGGCCGCTACACAGGAAGACAAGGAGGAAAAAGATAGCTTTATAAATACATATTCTGCTACTTAAAGCAGGACATACTTCATGCAATATAGTCTGTATTTGTCACGGCCCAAAAATATCTCATTTCTAAAATGTCTCCCTAAACATAATAAGGTACAGGTGGCACTTACCATAGTGAGAGTCCTTTTCTCTTTCTTCAAGTTGCTTCTTGTGTCCATTTCAAAGTGTGCTTGAGGTGCCCCTTAGCTCATTCAGCCATACAGACTTACGGGTTTCAGTGCAGCCTGATCTGAGGCTCTGTCACAATCTCTTCCACAAGTGACCCCATCCCACTATTTTTAGCCTAAAAATTGGACTGCTGTTCTGAAGGACAGAGCTTTTTGTCTGGAGAAGTTCATTAGAGAAGTCCATTAGAGAAGGACCTATACAAAATGTATTGTTGGACTTGCAACACCATCCCTTGACCTTTAGTACATATTTTTAGATAATTTCGCATGAAAGTACAGCATCTGAATGGCCCTGGGGATTGAAATATATATGGGCAGAAAGAGCAAATGGGAAGTAGATACAAGAAGACAAAGGAAGACAAAGGCAGGGGTAACAGGTGGTGGTGGTGGGCTGCCCAAACACTATCTTCACTCTGTGCATGGGGTAAATCAGGGAACATGGCATGACTTACTATGTGCTCAGCTCTAAAGCTCACTGAATTCAGCTTGTGTTCAGACTGTCCCTCCCAACCCATCTGCTCATGACCCCCCATCCCAACACATTCTTCTGTTTGAAGCAATGAAGAGAATAAGACTTGGGCAACGCGCACAGGCAAGCAGTCAGACAAGAGTTTGCACCTACTCTAAAAATTTCCACATTGGTTCCTTAATGAACCATAAAAAGCAATGGGGAACTCTGCTCTTAACAAGAATAGAAACCTTGGTGCTCTGCATTAAGCCACCAACTACAATTTTTTTGCATCTCATGCTTTAGAATTTCAGTCACTCCCTGCAGAGGGTAGTTATGGCAATTTTCTGGCTAAGCATGGACATTGCCTATAAGATTTCATTAATTTTTTTCCTGTAAATCACACACTGGATGAGATTAATAAGTATTTTGAAGAAGTACTACTTATCTTCTTTGTTAGGTTTGCACATGATATTATGTCTTGATCATATGGCTGGAGTATACTATTAAACAAGATCTGAGACTTGAAGAAAACACTTTGATATACACATCTAACCAAATATCCTGGTCATATTATTTCATTGTATTGTATTATTTTTGGCTCAGTAGGGAGGCATTTCTGTGAAGCTAAATGGCCAATAAGGTACAGAAATCCACATTGTTTATCTAATGGTCTATTTGTTCTTTAAATCTTTGAAGTGAGAAGTCTGTGGTTCCGAAAGTGCTCTTTTGAAATCAATAGCCTACTTGTGGCATTAAGTGCCACTCAACATGGATAAGTGTGACCACATGTCCTGTCATATATTTCAAAAGGAAATGTTTTAGTTGCAGATTGTAAACAGATTAGGTATCCTGGAGGTAGCTCATGTTACTAGAAAACATATCTGATGACTAAACTTAATAGCTGTTTAATTGACTAGATTATGTGACTATAAATTTTCTTTCTTGAGTCAAATTATCACTGCCAGTTCTAGCTGCATTATAATACACTCCTCATAAACTTGATATATTTGTCATTTAGTTGCCTGGAACATCAACTTGCAAAGAAATGACAGGTTAATTCAGATGATATAAAGCAATGTCATAGCAGAGAGATTTCCAGCTAATTACTGTTTTTACTTCAGAGGCAGTATCTCCTGTGACAATTCACTCTTGAAGCAAAAGATGAGCTGAACTCTTTTCAAAAAAGTTGGAGTACATTTGACAACATGAATATCTACCTACACAATGACATGATGGTTGCAGCTGTTAATGTATAATTACTTGAAAGTGTTGTTAAAGTATACTTGATGGGGTTCACACTTAGGTGTGACAAATCCTTTTAAATATACTTCACTGGTTATAAAAATACTTATAAAGTATTTTTTATCAGCTCCAGTACCACTCACTACAGCAGTTCTGGAGCTGAATGTAATTCTGACAGGCATTTTCATCAGCAAAGCATTCAACAAAAACAGATGGTTAAACAAAAAAGTGAGTGTAAGGTCCTCTGGTCTTTGGATTGCAGAACCCTGTATGTATACATCACTTTCTTGCCCAGTGAGAATCACATGAACTCAGTTAAAATCTATGTCTTTTCTTGTTAAAATTTCATTTGCCTTTCCACAGTCTTACAAGTACTCTTAGCAACCCATAAAAGCACTTTCTGAATAAATGTCTGAAGCACCCTTTTGTCCTCCAGTTTAACTGTGAAAAAGATGTCATTCCATATTTAGTAAACATGGACCAACTGTCAGATTAATAGATGAGTGCATGTGGTGTATGTGTATAAAAAAAGAGGTAACTTTTGTTGCCTAATTTTAGTGACACAATATAAGATGTGAATGTGATTTTTTTCCCATTATTGCACATTGTAAGGACATAAAAAAAATTTCCAAACTTATCAATTCTGAGAGTTGCTGAGAAAGTAACTGGCTGAAAACAGATAGTTTCAGCATTCTGGCATGTAATTCCCTTCTACAGTTTACCTTGATGGTGGATGCAACCAGAAGCAGGTATTTACCATCACAACTACTTTTTTTAATTTCCTTCTGTTTTTTCTCAAATCATTGTAAAGGCCATAAATATGAGATGCCCCTGAACACTTCTCACCAGTAAAGAACTGCAAAAACAAGTTCAGAATGACATCAGCTAGGAAAATAAAGCAATCGTTTGTAAAAAAATACACTTACTTTGCACCAATTTTAAAATCTATCTGCTTAAATTTTTGCTTCATTTGAATAACTCTGTATATAACATCTGACTGCCATTATTACTTTTTGACAGCTTTTTAAAGTACCGTGAGATTTTGTAAAATTTAATGTGGAAAATAAAACAGGAAATTTATATGAAAAACTAAGAGAGAAAAGTGTACTTTGAAAAAAATAATGTAAAAGTACAAATGCTTACCTTTGTGTTTGGGTAGCATAACTGTTATCATATGCCTCATAGCTTGGATCATCATATTCACCCCCATACCCATCATCGTATCCCTAAGGGAAAAGCAGAACACCACAGTTTAGAAGAGTGATAAATCAAAGGATATTATCAAGCTGTGAAAATATCTTGCATCAACATATGCATGGTATGTTTGCTCAGTATTGTGTAAAATATGTGGCCGATTGAAGAGAATTATGAATTGTGAGGCACAACCTGTACAGTGCAAGGGTAAAGAAATCAGTTACTCATTTAAGAACTCAGCTTATTCACTGATAAACTGTGGTGCATTGTCCAAACCACAGTGCTCCAGTGGGATCTGTGTAGAATACTGATGAATGATAATAAAAATAATAATCTCCTGGCAGTCTGTTATATAAATAGTTTCATAAATACCTATAGGTGAAATGAACAAATGGCAGGTGAAGTACACTATTAAGAATGGTATTGTGACAAAATCTTAATATTCAGTCTATTAAAAAAAGAAAAAACAAACAAAACAAAATATAACAATCTATGAGAAACAATATTTGCAAGCAAGTAATGCATTATGATATTTTAAAATAACTTAGAGTAAACACCTTTTCCTTCACTGAGCATCCCACTCTTTTTAAAGTCAGGCTTTTCTGTGACAACAGACGTTTTAGCACAGGTTCCTCCCATCTAATTTAAGGGTCCTTACTGAAGCACTCAGACAAATGCTCAGTCTGCCTAAGGTAGAGAGACGTAAGTGACTTCAGAAGGTGGTTCAGTTGATCTAATGTCTGAATATTCCACTGAAGGAGCCGTGGGTAGTTATGATCCATTGTAGTTGACTCTGAACCCAAGAGTGCTCAGGAACCAGACAATAAATAAATAAAGATATAATCCAAGGATGCCTTTTAATATGCTTTTCTTGTATGACAGGACAACAGAATAGGCAGGAAGAAGGCTGTATGGAAACACTTTTTTTTCTTTTTTATGATTTTTGGAAGCCAGTATTTTTAGTTAAATAGAAATTAAACATTTTTTTGTCATAAGGAAACCCACTAAGGAAAGTGCTAAAGGAAATAGGAAGCTTAAAAATCTTTGACTCAATTACAGCAGAAGACTATGCAAAATTTAGTTAGACTTGGGCAGAAGGGACAGCATGACGCAGCTCCAAAATAACAGCAGTCCAATAAACAATCACTGTACTGCACTATCATAACCACTCAAAGTACAGTATTGGTTTGGTACTTCATTATTTCTGCTAAATAAACTCCATAATGGTATTGAACAAGACTTCACTGGCACTCCTGAATTAAAGAAAACATTCAATGGAGGAAGCATTCAGTTATGTCTCCTTAGGTCAAACATATTAAATCTGCCTGCTCCTCTGGTGTACCCAGCAACGAGGACAAGTGTGGATTCCAGGTGGGAGAGTTTATCCCTGTAGTGCTGTATGGCCTGAAGGAAGGATAGGACTCCAGATGGTGACCTTACTTCTCAGGCACCAGGTCAGCTTGCAGTAAGGGAAAGCCTTTCTGAGCAGGAGGGAGAGTCCCATTTTGGGATTGGGGAATGGCCTCTCCTAGAATCTGAAGTCCACACAAGCCTCATCATCTTCCACTTCAGGTGGAAGTGCACCGGTTTGACTTGTTAATATTAGTAATAGTTAATATTAGTATAAACTCATAGCAAAAAGTACTGTTGAAAACATATCCCTGCACACTACAGTGATATACTGAATATTATATAGCTAAATACACAATCTTGCTTCTGAGGATAGGAAAAGAAACAGTGAAGCCCAGGAGACAGATGTTAGCCACATGAATTAGTATGCTACTGGGCAGGATCCTGCTACCGTGAAGAAGAGGATGATGCAAGTTCCTATATAAAGTCAAATAGCTAGGGGAAAGACATTTCATATGAGAGAATGGGAAAAGCAACAATTACAAATTAGCTTTCTCAGTTTTTTGATGCCTGAGATGGATCAATGTTCAGCATCAGCATGGCAGAGAACACTTGTTAATATTTGACACCTCTGTGGGTTCATGTTATAGATTTTAACAGCCTCCCTAAAGGCTCATAGTATGTCAATACAGTGCAAATGGTTCAAGTGGAATGGTTGGAAAACAGAGACAAAGTAAAAAAGCACAATATCTCTTTAATAAAGAAAAACTACTTTCTGGATAATGTTCATTTATTTGTGTAATTCTGTATGAGAATTATCTTCTAATCCTACAGGTGAAGTGTTTATGTAAGGTGCATACACACAGTTATTAAAAGTTTAATATGATGTATTGTATCCAGACACCTACCAAGCCTTTAGGTATCTAGAACTGAGACCCAAAATAGCTCCTTTCACATCCTTAAAAGTGTCTTAAACTCACTGAGCATTTTTCTTCTCTTTAACATTCAGCTCCCCAGAACCTACGACTTTAATATTTGAAAGTATTTCTTGGCTGAGCACTTTGAGAGATGAAACACCCAGCTCCCACCTAGACCCTGCCGAGATCAAAAGCTATGAGTTTGATGGTGTCCAAATTAACATATTTTGCTCTCTCTGTGTGATGAGAAGGGTGTTCCCAAAAGCAATTCTGTATAAACCCAGAGACTAGAACCCAAGATGCCCTCTTCAAATGCAGTGCAATTTTCTTTTCAGCACTAGAGTCAGATTACTTCATGCATTCTCTAGGTTTGTTAGACCTTATATTAAAAACAAGCAAACAAACAAACCGTATTAATTTGAGAAATGTTCTTTATATATATGATGATAGGAACAGAGCCTTTCTCTTAGAGAACCTAAGTAAGTTACTAGTGCTTTACCCTCAGCATATTGAAGGAAAAAGGATTACCTACACTGTCAGTGATTTGAATATGACATTCGTTCTTCTAAAATTTCTACAGTTCCATTTATTTCACCAGAAACTTTCACATATATAACACTTAGACCTTCCCTCCTATGTTAAGTTCTAACGCGTTTTCATTGAGGTCTGTGCTTTTCAAGCAGAAATACTCTCGATAACCCCTATGTGGTTGCGAGCTATGCTGGCGAGGGCTCATGCCTTCGGTAGGGTCGCCCATGCCAGACAGGTCAAAACCATAGGACCAGATAAACTACATCCCTGGGCAGGATGAGCTCATTAGCCTTCTGGCAGTCATCCTAGGAGAAGGACAACTCTCATCCCAAACCCGGGCAGATGGAGCTCGCTTAGCCCTGGAAGGCCATCCATCTCAGAGAAGGTCACTCTAATCAAACCTACGTCCTGAGGACCTCGCTGCCACCGTCCAAGCTTGCTCGGCCCTGGCAGATGAACCTCAGGATTAAAGGGTGGGTTCAGTTCCGCGCATACTGCATCTCACCTAAAAAATCCATTGCGCAGGCTTGAAGGCTTTACCCACATGCAAAAAGTCCTGTAGCGACGGGCGAGGGTCGAAACGGTAGGTGAAAGATGCACTGGGAGCCGCAGACTCAACCCTGCATGCAGGCGGTTCAGGATATTGGTCATTTGAGACTGACGGAGATGAGAGTCTCTTGGGGCAGCACCCTGAACGACCAAGCAGCCTTTTCAAGGACAGCACTGCTTGCTCCACTCGGAGCTCGTATTGGCCTTTTTAGCCACCAACGCGCTTGCATGAAAAATGGGTAGAGCCCTTCCCAAATCTTCGTTCGCGAAGCCTAGCCATGAACTCTCGATAAAGTGTCTTTAGACATGATCTGATCAAGATCTCCACGTTAGTCAGAATATTAGAAAACTTGTATAAAAAGTTGATAGGGTTGAGCCATTTAGTTTCAGTGAAGGAGAAGAAAGCAATTCCCTAAATTTTCAGAGTTCTTTGATGAGGCTAATGAGGGTGCAGATAAGCATAACCTGAGGGAAACAGCATCTTTTGAAAGTTACTGATGAATTTTGATTCTCGGGGATATTCAAGGGAATGTGGTTGGATGCCTGAGAAGACTTTTCCTGTGTAGGAATGGTAGCTGCCACCATCATTCAGAATAAAAAGCCTACCACAATGAACTGGAAAAAAATGCAATGGGGAACTATTAGAAATAGTCAATGTCAAATGTCAATGTCAAATGACAATAGCCATTTCTAGGCTAGGTTTTTGTGCCAGGCTATCTTTTCTCAGGTATTTCTTACTAAAACAACTTTCCCAATCATAAAAAAAACCCTAAAAAGACCTGTTCAGTTTGTGTCAGGGAAAAGGTAAGTTAGTCTTCCAATGTCTAGGATTTGGACTGGAGACAAAAGAACAGAAATGTACATTCGAAGCTGCAGTGGGACTAAGAATATTTATAAATAATTATGGATTATTTTGAGGAATTTTGGTACTGTTAAGAGTTGAAAAATAATAACAAAAAAGATGAAAATTAAGAAAAAATTTAAAATAGAGATCAATTTAAAAAAAAGATTAATTTGAAAATGAGTGAATATAAATATTTACCAGTCTTTCCCCATAAAATGAAGACAGGAAAAACTCTCAGAACAATCTCAAAACAGCATCTGAAATTAGCATTAGGAACATTCAATTCAGGAGGAAATATTCAATACTCAAGTACTGATAAAGAAAATTATAGTCAGGGGCAAAAGGGGTGTAGAAGCCAAAAGGGACATATTTTGAAAAAGGCTTATATTCTACCACCTGAGAAAAAGTTAAGTATCAATTTGATTCAACACACAAAATATCATTTAGAAGGATTTATTTTAACTATTTAGATTTATTGAAATCTTCTTAAATTTTCAGATGCTGAAAGAGATATTAGAAATACAAACAAAATTTTAAGTATCATTAGTTACAAGGGTATGATAATATAACACAATCTGATCTCTTAAAACTTGAACTTACTTCATAATGTTAAGATCCTGTTTCAAATAATAACAGCCCACACTCAAATGCACCAAGTTTAAATCACCTCTTCTTGAATAGCCTTAAAAAACAGATTTTTCAGAGCACTGAAAAACTCTGTGAAACCAAGAAGGACAACATTTCTAATACTTCTAATGAAAACTGCTTTATTCACAATATTTTAGGTATGTCCTAGTAATACATAATAAAATACATTGTAAGAAAGTTGAAACTTATTTGT